GAGCAGTATGGCAGATGTGATGAACAAAATGTCTACGTATGTAAACGATCATGGCCTCACAATCTATTTGTTTTAGAGAAACAGAACATATCATATACGTCATAGTCTAACTTCATCTTCATTATGAATTAGCCCTTTAACCTGTTTTTTTTTAATGGGCTATTTAACAAACAACACCAACTATACATTTAGGAAAGTTCTCAAACTATTTTCATAAATTGCATCAGTGATTTTTTCACTGCATATTAGTCAGTGTTTGTAAGTTTTCAGGCCGATTTCTCCCGCTTAGAATTAGCAGACTTCTTGGGCTAATGTGAACACATATTTATAAGCTGTGTGGAAAGTAAAGCACACTAGGCATTAAATGGAACTCTCTATCCAATGAATAATAATGTTGATTGCCTTAATCTTCTTTCAACCATACCACGGGAGGGAGCTATTTGAAGACCATTGACACTGAAGAAAAAAACAGCCCAATTTGAAAAATGGGCAGTTTTTAAAACTACCGTTTACACAAATGGAAAAACCTGTATGAAACCTTCATTGTTTGCTTACCATCAAAACATTCAGGTTTTTTGGTGAGGGGTGTGTATGCGCACACAACTTATCACTACTTTGCATGTTCTTGCGAGGAAGTGAGCACATACAGGACTACTTCACAGTTGTTTTGAGAGCAACCGTTCACACATAATATATGTTACAAAGATCGGCGGATTAAACAAAAATATAAAAAGTGTTTTTTTTCCTTCCTGTTTTTCGTTCCTGTTTTTCTTCTTCATATTTATGGGTAGTTGCCTAGCTTTTTCTATCAAAACAATGACTTAATCAGAAAAACCCAGGGTTTTTTATTGCAGTGTAAAAGCCCCCCTTTAGAGTTAAGACCATATTTACCATGGGGAGTGTGTGGGTGGGTTATATATGTTATGTAGCTAGGGTGATAAATACCTTCAGCTGAAGGGCTTCCATTTTCTTCACTCCATTGACCTATGAGGATTTCTTGTGTAAAAAGAGTTGTGTAAGGCTTTCATAAAATATGGAAGCTAGCCTTTGTGTTTGCATGGTTGGCTAATATTGAAGTGGTAAAAGATATTTTTGAAAATTTTCTCATTTTCAAAAACATGTTTTGAGTGAATCCAAGACTTCCCTTTTAAGGATTGCTATATAACCATGATCCTTCAAACTTAATCCTTTCAATACATTACTCAGAAATTCTTGCATTTTTTGAGAGATCATATTTTTATTTCTTACAAGAAGTTTTCCAAACGTACAATCAAAAGATTTTGATTACTGTTCAAACAATGAAGTACAATATGTGGAATTCCTTAACAAGAACAAAATTTTTAGAGGAGGGAAAATGACTGTAATCAGCTGGGAGATAGCCCTGATCTACAGGTATGTCATCTCCTTACAGCTCTCAAATTGACTTGCAGAAATGGATTTGACTTTGGAAAGAAAACAAATTGTTTACAAATTTGAACATTTTTTTTTACTGTAAAGAAAAAATTCACTCCACTTTTTTAATCTGATTTCTTGTATTAAATTTGAATTTTTAGGATACATTATCTCATAATTTATTCTCTTATATTCTCTCCAACATCTACCAAGTCAATTTAAAGACAATTTTACTTCAAAAATTGTAATACAGCTTCCAGTGTTCATGTACATGTACATGCAATAAAAGCAATCACCATATCAGATCATCTGGTCAGAGCCAGGAGGGGGTTAAATCTGTGTTAGTACGAGTTAATACCCTTCTGGCTCCAAACAGATGACTGCTATTCTCAGAATAGAATTGAATTGCCTGTGCTCTCTCTCCCTGGAAAAAGAAACCAATTATGCCCTAAGAAATATCGATAACTTAGTCTTGCCCAAACCTAAAACTAATCATTGTAAACGAACATTCTTTTATCGCGGATCTAAATTATATAATGAATTACCGATTAACTTACGTAGACCGAACACACTCAATTTATTTCGACAGGGCCTAAATGAATGGATGCTAGATTTTGATGTATAAACTTTTGGTGTAAACGGGGAGGGGGGAGGGATGGTAACAGTCGTATTCATAATGTGTTATAGAGGGTTTGGGAGGGGGTTGTAGATAGTGCGTTTGTAATATTTTGTGTTTTATTTCTATGTTTGATTATTTCTGGACCTCTAGGAAGAACAGAGCCATTTTAATAATGGCTCTGAATAGATCTTTCCAGTCGTTTTTTAATTCTTGATTTGTATTATTTGTAAATTGTATTCTTGTATGTATTGAATTTTTATACGGAAAATAAAACCAAACCAAACCAAACATTCAGTATTTTTTTTTTGTACAGCTTCTTAGGAAGAGATTACATGATGTAAGATGAACCATGAACTAGGTACCTAAATAACATTCTGACTGACGCATTTCCTTTGGGTGTTGTTCGCTCCTAAATGCATCTGACCTTAGCTATTCATGGAAGCAGTCATTACGACTACCTTTATTCTAAAAATTGCATGTTTAATCAAGGGACTTTGCCATTAAAGAATGAAAGGAAACCAGTCGCTGAAAGAGGTTATGTGCTCATTGTGTTCAGGATTCCATTTTGGTAACCTCTATTCAAATTTAGCTTTCAATATAAATTCTGTAAAGAGTTAATGCAAATTTTTACTCAGAAATAACCCTTATAAGTAACATACATGGAAAATGATTTGTGGGTAGACAATTCCACAGACTCACATACTGTAACAATCATGGGAATTTTCTAATTGTTCATAGTTACCATGCAGGCCTAGACATGAAGTGGTTTTCTTCCCTTTGAATGCTCTCCTAACAAACCACATGCATTATTAAGCTAATATTCTATTGATTCTGTGATACAAAAAACATTTATTAACAGGTAGATAATACTGCGCCCAATGACTGATTGTGATTGAAAATATAAAAGTTATTTGGTAACTAAAGATAAAGGTGAGTTTTGGTAATGCGATTGCATTGTGAAAGAAAAGATGTGGAATAGATCAGAAACAGTTGATCATGTAGCATGCAAGTATTGGTGTGCACTGCAAGGTTCTGGAGTCATCAAAATCATAATAAATTTGGCCGAGTCTTGGTAAAGTAACAAGCACTGTACACAGAAAGCTATATATGGGACAAAACACATGGTGTTGGGGCTAGTACTACCTTGATTTCCTTGTCTTTCTATGCTCATTACTCAGCCAGTATATATTTTCTTCCAAAATTGTTTGGCACATGTCATTTATTTGTAATCTTGAGCATTCAGTGTAAGTTTCGTTTGATTCTGTGAGAATTAATTTTCTTTCTTTTACCAGAACTGGAGTTTATCTTTAAGCAAAACATACATGTATGTGTGATCTTGATAAGCAGAACATAAATGTGAATTGCTAAATCATGGCTTTATTAAGTAGTCCCACATCCCTGTTGGTGATTTCCAGTACTTTTTATTTTTGTATTGCATTGATTTACATTTTGTTGTATAACCATATTACATCTTACTGATAGAAATACAGACAATGTAGGCTTTTTAATTCCGGCGTTATTATGAAACAACAAATCCGTACAGTAATAGTGACGGATTCGTCGTTCAAAATAGCGCCCACGCCTTGATCAAGAACTCAGAAGACTTGCAGCACTTTATGAAACATTGCATATTCCCAGTAAATACCTGGAAAAAAACTCAAGTTTTTCTTTTAATGGCAGGAATCATACATAATACATGACATACAAATATTCGTGTAGCCTCTGTTTCAAAGTAATGGTACTCCCGATTGTGAAAAACAGTTATAACCAGAACGTAGAGTACTATTTTGGATTGAACCTCAATATTGTACCGCAGGTCTTTTCCTATTATTTCTTTGAAGGGTTTCTAGAACCTGAATGCTTCATCAACTCCCTTGAAATATTCGAAATAGAACCATTAGAAAGAGGATATTCAATGGGGATTGCTTTCTGCCTCTTCCTCTATGGTTACAGCCCACTCAAAAGTGTTGTTGTTGTTGTCTTTTTCTCTCTTTGAGACTTATCCTCTTCCCGTCCTCTTCTTTACCACTTGTGAGATGTATTCAGGTTGGGTAACGTACTGTAGGGGCACATAAAGACGCGTCCGGAATGCATATATAGAGACAATTGTAAAGAAACATGATCAAATAATTCATGTCATAGACAAAGAACCATAATACAGTTAACCCTGCATATCAACTCGAAATTACACAAGTCCAATTTTCCTTACAATGGACTGAAATATGCAAAACATATGCTACTGACACTTCCTATGACTAATTTTGCACAAGTCAAACTTTTGCAGTCCAAACAGATTTGACTTTGCTAAAGTTGAAGGGAAATCCAACCTTGATAACAAACTACTCTAGAGGAAAGCAGGAAAATCAGAGAAGTACACTGGTGAAAGTGTGAAAGGAATTGGACAAACAAATAATAACAAGTTATTTTTCTTTTTTAAAGTTGTAATCACTATAGGTGTGGGCTCTTCAAATTGGCTGAATTAATAATGTCTCTGTGATGTAGTGGCGGATAACTTTCCCATTTGTTCCAACACACAACATAACACAAATTTCACAAAAATTATGACTCCAGAGGGTCTGTTCTCTTTAGAGGACCTATAATAATATGTTATCCACAATATATTTTGAATAGTGCCCCAAGGGAGAAGGCACTTGGGAGAAAACAGATATTAATTATATGTTTGTACTTAACAAACAGGGCAGTAATCGGCGTCTTTGTCACAATCCACTGACCAAACTGCCAATTTGAGATTGGCATAGGCTTGGTGATCCCATATTTCAAATATTCATAACTTTTTCATTATTTGTCCGATTTATTTCAAACTATCGTAATTCTGTTTATCAGGTGAATAAAATAATTTGTTTTGAGGTACTTCACAAAGACTTATATATTAAATTTGGTTACATTATGAAAATGGCCTATTGCTGAATGGTTGAAATGTTTTAATGCTCATAGCTTTCTCTCTCTGTGTGTCTTCTTTCTCCCAAAGATATGGCCATAGATGATGAAGGTGAAGAACAGGAGCCATTCCACTACTTTGTGACACGGGTGAAAAGAGACTTGGAGCCATTTGTGCCTGTCAACAGTTTTGAGACCATCCAAAATGGAAATATGTGAGAAGATATTGTTTGCTCATAGAGCTCTTTCATCAAGTCTTCCTAAGTCGTTCTGGAACTCAAAAATTCTCTCATATTTTGAAGAAGGGCGCTAATGAGTTGCGCTGTTGTCCTAAAAGCAGACGCGCGCTATTGCGCTAAACGCAGACATGCACTATTGCATTAAGCAGAAGGTCGTAAGCATTTAAATGCCTGTAACTTAAAAAATACCTGCTTATTTGATACACAGCTACTCAAATCGTGTCGTCACAAATTTACTATCGACTTTTTATTAGTTGATGAAGGGAGAAATTCCTGTCATATGACATGTATGGAGTAATCAAAATATTAGAAGTGAATGATCAGGAATACATGACCTTGTGCCTGCAGCACGATGAGTCGTATGCTGAGACATTGTAGTCAGCTAGAGAGGAGCTTCATTTTTACTTGGCGTTGACTGATGAGGGAATGACCATGAGAACCCCCTTTCAGATTATTTTGAATGATGTCATCAAGGAATTTGAAGGAGAACTTCAAACTAGGCATCCTTTTTTACAACTTTAATTTGGGTGAGCAATGAAATAAAAATGGGTTCATATATAGCTACAGAATTGCCAATATGTGTTTGATTGATTGCAACTTCAAAAAATCACAACTTTCTTATTTTCAATCAGATTTTGCCCAAACTTTCACTGATCTGTCCATCTCATTTTTCTGCTTCTATTAAAACAAACTTAATATCAGGGTGGACTTTCCCTTTAAATACAGAGCCTATGCACTTATGCAGTATGATGTCAGGCTAGTCTCAAAGTGCAGGCACTACTATGTAGAAAGGAAGAACAAAGGATTGTGCCTGCAAACTACAAAAATAGCTTGGGAAAGGTAAAGTAATAGAATTATATGGTTCTGCTATAGGTTATATATTATGTGTAACATTAAATGTTATAGTCACAATTGTATATGTAAGCTCTCATTGCTTTTGTATTTACTGTACATGACATTTTATTTGAAAAAATCAGGAGTACCAATCACCAAAACACGTTCTGTTCTCGATGCTATAGTGTAGTCTACTATGAGCTTCAAATATTTCTTCTACATAGAGACTTCTAGTGAACTGTAAAACACCTTTTATGTTTTTTGTGTTTTCCTTTATTTACTTCATGCTCCTTAACTGTTTACCAGTAGAATGCCAGGTATAGTTTTTTAGCTTGATTTTATACATTCTACCTATACACAAATGATTTTTCAGGTAATTGGTAGCCTACACTTTAAGATTGGCTTCCTAATATGACTTAATTAAAATTCCTGAAGAAGTTCAGCCAAGGCAGTACATAAGTAAAACCATTTGAGTAAAAAAACGTGCATGAATAAAGCTAATATTTGCCACTTCAAATCTTGAGATAAAATTTTGCTAAGTGAAAAGTAAATAGCCTCATGAAATATTTCAATGTAAAATTGGGAACTTAAAGGTAAAGACCAGTTGTGGTCATGCGATTGCATTGTGAAAGAAATGTTGTGGAATCGATCATAAAAGGTTGCTCATCTAGCATATAAGTTTTGTGTGTACTGCAATGTTGTGGAATCATCAAAATGATAAGAAATATGGCCCAGTCTTCGAAAAGTTACAAGCACTGTACACAGATAGATGTATATGGGACTATACGCACACATGCGTTTATCTCTCACAGACCATGTAGATAAACTAATTTACCAAATATATCAATTAGTAGGCGGTTTCCGGGCAAATTTTTTATCATGTATTAGTCAAAACATATACTTTCACATGATTGGTAATAAGAGCTTCCATTTAATTTTTTGGAATTGGGGCGTTTCCAATACTGGTCTTTACCTTTAACTTCAACAAGATTGTTACTGGGTACAATATCAGATGACAATGAAATATGGTGCCCAGTGCCTGCAAAATCAGAGATGTGTAAGGTTTTTTCTATGTATTTATATGTTATAGTAGCAGTGACTCTTCATTCGTTCAGGCTCTATACATACATGTATATATATAAACTAATAAATGTATTTAAATGTATTTAAATGTATTAAAGAAATATCTTGATGCTAATTATCTTTGTGTATGACTGGCATGTATTGTACATCTACACTTCTTTCTGACGGAGACGCCATTTTGACCACACAAGTAGGTAAGCAACCGTTTGATAATACGGTTTTAGAAAGTAGAGCAAAACACTTGAATCGGAAGCGGATCGTCTGCTATTTGCTCAATGAGTAGGGAAAGATATCCCTTGCGAAGAAAATCAACATATATTGGGAAAGAACTAGCCTGATATCTGTAGGGTGTTCAGCACCCGAAACTAACTTGCCACTGAACAGTTTGATGCTTTTAAGTTGAAACCATTAACTTTTACGCTTTATACAATTACATTCATTTTTTGTGTGTGTGTTCGCCGTGCATTTCTTGATGAAGCCGTTACCTCTTCATATTCAGTAACGCATGAAATGAGCGTACAAGTCATTCTCCTGTTATTCCTGCCCCTTTCTCTTTTTAATATCAGAGTGGAAATGATAGAAATTTGGTTTATAATTCATTTTTTTCTCACTCGCCCGTTCCTTATAATGCCGTCATTTTCTAGTTCACTTGGCTTATTGGCGAGTGGCATTTTGATGCACAACCAATTTGTATCGATTGCTCCAGTTTGTACTGTAAGTGCATGGTATTAAGCGATTGAGAGAGGAGATGGAGGAAGGGGGAGACTTCTATAGACAAGGAGAAAGACGAGAAACGAAAGAGGAGAGAGAGAGAGAGAAGGAGATAGAGAGAAGGGGGATGGCTGTTGCGCTTTTCAACCATGATCACGTTTTCTTTAACATCCGGAAAAGTTTCAAGCTTGCATTCTATACGTTTCAATTCCGTTTTGAACTCTCCTTTTGAAATCGTAATGCAGTGTTTGTGAATATAAGCTAAGATGACAAAGGCTTTAAATGTCATCCTTCAAAAGTGGGATATTTTCTTGCAATGAATAATCTCGAGTTAACTGTATATAAGTTGACACTTGACTTTCAAGCACGCAATGTTTATTTTCGAATTATTTGTGGTTTACTTTAATGCACAATACGTGAATTATACACGTTAATGCAGTGTAGATCCCAGGTGACCTGGTAATCACGGCTTTTCAAACAGGCTCATTTAGCCTGTCAAATTGAAATCAAAAAACCTTCTCAGAAATGTCTTATTTATTATGGTAAGATTCTGTTTTTTACCTGATGGATATTTCCCTTCCATTAAGAAACTAATCCACACGTCAGTACTGACGTCAAGTTTCCACCCACCTTGTTTATACATAGTCTGAAGCTCAATGAATGCAATTACAAACTTGACAAACATGATTAGCTTCCACACCCAAGTCACACCGGCAAGACAGACGACAAACCGAATAAAACTTTATATTACACCGTACTATTACCAGGAAGTGGTCAGTGTTTAATCGGAGTGCACTCGGTTTGACGATGTGACGGAAGCATAAGGCCTTGGTCTTGAATTTAAATATAGAGGTGCGTGGTCAAGTGGATAAAGGGAGATGTGAATTGGTCTAGTGGCACGTTTACTAGGTCAGCTCTCTGTCTTAATTCGCCTGTCTTAAAACTGGCTCAGGCGACCTCGGTTCAAAACTGAGTCACGTCTTTCTTTCGGATGTTTTGGTTAAAGTTCGGTCCCCAGATGTAAATAATCATATCCGATTGATACACTTCTGTATCATGTAAAAAAAAACCACACACACACACGCACACACACACACTAGTGGATATGTCACCGGACTGTGGATTACATGGTTCGCGGTCGGAGTCACGCCACGGTACAAGTCATTTCTGGTAAAGCACAACCCTCCACCCAGGTGTAGTAAAAGGTTACCCAGTGGGGATTTATTCTTTGAATGCCTTGAGCACCTTAGGGCAGCTGGGCTAAACCCATTTGTATAATACTGTAGTCTTTGTAGGCACCTTGAGCACCCCTATGCGATGGAGAGCTGTTATAAAACATCACAATGAAACATTGTTTGTAGGTCAAACTTGATCTCGATACAAATCTTGACCTCCAATTTGTTCAGCTCTTCAGCTACACTTGAAACGGGGTTGTTCGTTTTTGCCGTTTTTAAATAATTAATTAGGAGAAATCAATATACCATTTTGGAGTGCCCATTAAATTTAAGGTCTTGATATGAAATAATTTCTACAAATAACATGGGGAAAGCGTGTTGCTGATCAGTACTTGATTTATAATGTCACTGTATAACACTGCTCTGGTATTATCATATTTGAAATGAGTGATGTTAATTTTTTTGTTGTTGGATGTATCTAAAAGGGCTTAAATCGACTCCCCCGTGCACCATTTTTGTTATATGACCCGTTTAGTGTTCTTACAAACAGTACCCAATGACAAGATATATAATACAGCTATTTCAAACGATTAATTTTCTTTTTTAAATGAACTTTTGCATGCATAGGCTCAGGCGCGTACGCAAAAGTGGGGGGGGGGGTTCCCCCCCCCCCCCTTTGAGTTTTTTTTTTATGTGTATGTTATTTTTTGGAGAAAAAAAACCCTTCTGAGTTTGTTTGTTTTTTAATTAAAAAAAATAAAAAATTATGCCTGTGGATGACCTAAAAAAGGTGACCTTACCCCCCCCCCCCAACGTAACAACATTTTCAAATTTCGAGACCAAAAAAAAAAGTGTCCTCTTACCACCCCCCCCCCCTGCTTATTCAGCGGCTGGCTGAGTCGTTGCGAAATTTTTGGCCCGATTTTAACCCCCACCCCTTTGAAAAAATCCAGCGTACGCCACTGCATAGGCTGTTGCGATGTCGGGCAACAGTCAGCTCTTAGGTTGCCAAAAGCAATGTTTCTTTGAAATGTATGAATATAATGTAATTACATAACAAATAATACCTCTTTTATTTTTATACAAAGAATAAAAATAGGCTCGTGTTAATGTGTTAAATAAGATAGAGGGATATCCAATCCATTTCTTTTAAATGGGATTTTAGTTCAGTTCTTCCTTTTAAGGAGCAATGAATAGTATTTTCGAGTGCTTTTTGCAATCTAGCGTGAATGAAATTTAACGTAGAATAGAATCGCTAATGACGTGTGCCTGAAGCTCGAGCCTTTCTTTCTCTGCACTATCTAATAATAGATTCTGCTATCTGATACTGTTCGTATTATGAACCGCCAATTTTCGTCCTTATTTGCCTCGACACTGTAAGAATGCTTGAGCTTCAAAGAACACTTACGTTTCAAGGGCATTTTGGGATTAAAATTCGATCCATTAGAAAATATCGCCTTCACCGTCTCCCCCACCCCCCCCCCCTCTCTCTCTCTCTCTCTCTCTCTCTCTCTCTCTCTTTCGCCCCCCTCTCTCTCTCTCTCTATTTCTCTCTCTCTGTCTCTTCCCTTTAATTCTCTATCTCCTTCACTTCATTTCTCCCTCTCTCTCCCCGGTCTCTCTCTCACCCTTCCCCTCTCTCTCTCTCTCCTCTCTTTAACTTTATCTCTCCCTCTCACTTCCTTTCCCCTATGTCTTTCCCCCTCTCTCTCTCTCTCTTCCTTTTCTATTCTCTCTGTTACGTTTTCTCTGCATTTAAGAGCGAAATGAGTGTAGAAGCTTGATTCATTCTCATGCCTGAAATAACTTCATCACGCCTGAAGGAGACATCAACCTCGAGTACGATTTTAACAATCCGAAACCATTTACGAAAGCAAACACGAATGTTGTTATCCACATTTATACTATAACTCAGTTTGAGGAAAAATGTTCTTACAGGATAATTACTCATCTTGTTCTCATATTTACTCTTGCGCTTCTCATCTATATCAATCGTCCCTGTTTTCACGAAGTGACGGTAGTGAGCAAAATCGCATATAATTTCACTTTCGATTTTTTTTGCATTTTTGGACATCATTCACTAACATCTTGAACCTCAAAAAATTTCAGACCGTAATAATATCTAATTATGTCACTATGACGATGACGTAAACAAGAAAATACCTAGCAAAAGGATTTTCTGTTTTCACGAAGTGACGGCCAAGTACGCGCTTAACAGCCGTCAATTCGTGAAAACATCGTTTGCTCTTTCCTGCTTTTAATATTTTCACGAAGTGACGGTAGTGAAAATTTCGCAGTTTGGAACAGTCACAGACCATGAAAAGGTGAGTTTTTAAACATTTTTTTAAAGGTAAATTAATGTGGTACACTCTTTTGATTCATTCTGATTCTTTGTAAGCCATAAATATGTCCATGAGCACAGAAATGTGTGAAATATACACCGCCGTTCCACATATCGCCCCATATACTTATTTTCATGTAAGTGAATAAAGGAGTGAAGTATC